TGATGTATGGAAGAATCTCGTCCCAGGTTTTATGTTGTACGTCCACGTACATTGACAGCATGTCCGCTATGGTCTTGTTAAGCCTCTCTGTCAGTCCATTGGATTGCGGATGATAAGCCGTTGTTTTTCGATGACTTGTGCAGCTCAGTTTAAAAATGTCCTCCATCATTCGTGCTGTAAACGACGTCCCTCTGTCCGTAATCACGCATGACGGGGCACCATGCCGTAGGACGATTTGGTGCACGAAGAACTGCGCGACTTCAGAGGCCGTGCCACGGGGTAACGCTTTTGTTTCAGCATAACGCGTGAGATAATCTGTCACAACTATAATCCACTTGTTCCCAGAGGACGACAAAGGGAAGGGCCCGAGAAGGTCCATTCCCACGAGGTCACACGGTGTCCGTGGTGGTGCGATCGGCTGGAGCAGGCCCGCGGGTCTCACAGGCGGAGTCTTGCGGCGCTGGCACTCACGGCAGCCTTTCACATATCGATGTACACTAGTTGATAGTCGCGGCCAGTAATACTGTTGGCGTACTCGGGCGAGAGTTCGCGAATAGCCCAAATGTCCTGACGTGGGCTCGTCGTGGCACGCCAGGAGGATTTCATCACGCATGTCGGTAGGAACAACGAGTAGGAAGGCCTTGTCGCTACCACGGGCGTTTTTCTTGTAAAGGATGCCTCTTCTTAGACAAAAAGAGGACAGTTCGCGAGCAATGTGTTGAGGGACCTGAGAGTTGCGGCCTTCCAGGGAATCAATGACTGGGCGTAATTCATCGTCTGCCCTCTGCTTTGACATAAATTCGGAGTCACTAACTGCTCCGAGAAAGGCATCTTCATCTTCGGAGCCCCTGACAGCGTTTTCCACAGGTGCTCGAGAAAGCGCGTCGGCGTCTTCGTGTTTGCGCCCTGACCTGTACACAATCGTTATGTCAAACTCCTGCAAACGCAAACTCCACCGTGCGAGACGGCCGGATGGATCTCTGAGATTTGCCAGCCAGCAGAGCGAGTGGTGGTCAGTCACCACTTTGAAAGGACGACCGTAGAGGTAAGGCCGAAATTTGGTCGTCGCCCATACGACTGCGAGGCATTCTTTTTCTGACGTAGAATAGTTGGTCTCAGCTCGAGAAAGAGTACGACTGGCGTAAGCTATCACATGCTCAACGCCGCCGTGTCGTTGTACAAGGACAGCGCCAAGTCCGACGTTGCTGGCATCTGTATGAATTTCTGTAGCAGCGTCCTCATCAAAATGGGCAAGAACAGGGGCTGTTTGCATTCTCTGTCGTAACTCTGTGAACGCTGTATCTTGTTCTGCGCCCCAAGTAAAGGGTACGTCATCTCGGGTGAGTCGCGTAAGAGGTTCAACTATCTTAGAGAAGTTGGCGATAAATCGGCGATAATACGCGCACAAGCCGAGGAAACGGCGTACTGCTCTTTTATCTGATGGGACAGGGAAGGCGGCGACAGCAGCAGTTTTGTCTGGATCAGGTCGCACTCCATCTGCACTAATGACATGTCCCAGAAATTTCAGCTCTTCATAGCCGAAATGGCATTTTTGGGGTTTCAGCGTAAGTTCAGCTGTGCGAATGGCTTCCAGAACCTTTCTCAGACGCTTCAGATGTTCTTCAAAGCTCTCGGAAAAGATGACCACATCATCGAGGTAGACAAGGCAGCTTTGCCACTTCAAGCCAGCGAGAACTGTGTCCATCATCCTCTGAAAAGTGGCTGGTGCCGAACAGAGGCCGAAGGGAAGAACTCGGAATTCGTAAAGTCCGTCTGGAGTCACAAACGCGGTTTTTTCTCGGTCTCGTTCATCCACTTCAATTTGCCAATAGCCACTCTTTAGATCGATGGACGAAAAATACTTCGCACGTCGTAACCTGTCGAGGGAGTCGTCTACTCGTGGAAGCGGGTAGACGTCCTTTTTTGTGACGCTATTAAGCTTCCTGTAGTCAATACAGAATCGCCGCGTTCCGTCTTTTTTCTTTACTAGAACGACTGGCGAGGACCAAGCGCTGCTGGATGGTTGAATAATCCCGTCATCGAGCATCTCTTTTACTTGTGTCTGAATAGCCTCGCGTTCTTTGGCAGAAACGCGATAAGGCTGCTGCCGGATGGGGCGGACGTCATCGTCGGTAATAATTCGATGCTTCGTGAGGTGTGTTTGACGGACTTTAGAAGAAGAGGCGAAGCAAGATCTAAACTCCCTTAAAAGGTCGTGAAGTGCAGCCTTTCTCTCGTCTGACAGCGTCGAATTAATGTCGATGTGGTCTAGAAATTCCTTATCCTCATGCGTTTCCTCGGACGCGAAGCACTCCGTGACGTCGGCAACAGGTTCTCCATAAGCTAGGGTGGTTCCACGGAAAAGATGCCGGTGCTCGTAATTGAAGTTCGTAGCTAGTATCGTTGACTGTCCGTCACGGACGCGCACAACACTTCGGGCGGCGCATACACCTTGGAGCAGCAGAAGTGATAAGTTGCTTTCAGCCACCACGTCGCCGTCTTGGAAGTCTTCACAAGTGACTTCGATGGGAACAGTTGCTCGAGGTGGCAGCGTCACACTGTCGTCAGCAACACGCAGCGCAAGTCTACGGCAGTTATCGGCGTCTCGATCTGTTGCGCCTTGAGTCGAGAAGGTCACGATGCGCTCACGGAGATTTATGATGGCACCGTATTCCCGAAGGAAGTCCATGCCGATAATCAGCTGACGCGAACAGTCGGGGAGAACGAGGCAGCTGAGCACAAACGTTGACGCACGAATTTTCACTCTTGCGGTACAGCGACCCAGCGGTGTTACAACGTGTCCTCCAGCTGTTCGAATTCGCGTTCCATTCCACGGCGTGATCACTTTCCTGAGATCTTTCGCTAGCCTCCGGCTGATGATCGAATAGTCTGCACCAGTGTCTACCAATGCACTGACCTGAAGACCGTCAACCAGCACAGGTATGTCGAGCGACACGCGGTCACTAAGTTCAGATGCGGATGTCGGCGTTTCTTCGGCACTGCGATTATTCTCTGACGAAATGCCTTCGGCGTTGCGTGCAAGCATCGATGGGAGGTCTTCCGCACTTTGAGTCCCAGCGACCTTGCCCCCGAAGGCCGCTGCCTTCAGTTTTCCCGACGAGGGCTCGGGGAGCGTTCCCGTGCCGTCACCCCAAAACGTGGCCCAGTGGCTGCGGGTCTCCTCGGAGATGGTGACCGCGATTGCCGTCGTGTAAAGGGTGCACGCTGTTGCGCGAGATATTCTTCGATATCTCTTGGCCTTTGACCAATTCGGGGACGAGGGGAATTGACGGAAAATCCGCGCAGTCCAAGTTGCCGGTATGGGCATTCGCGGTAAATGTGACCAGCCTCACCGCAATGATAGCAGAGGGGTCGTCTGTCTGGCGTACGCCAGAGGTCAGACTTGCGCGTCGGTGTACGGCGACTATCGATGTCCAAATCAGCGTGCGCTGACTGAATCGCGACTGACGGCATCATTGTCTGGATCGGGACGTATGGCATTGTCTGGATCGGGACGTGCGGAACTGTCTGGATCGGGACGTGCGGCACTGGCTGGATCGGGACTCCTTGACCCGAAAGAGGAGTGGCAGATCCCAAGGCTTCCGCGTACGTACGACGGCGACTGTCAGTAGACACAGGAGCCGTTTCCAGATCAACCGACGTGGGCGGAAAACGATGGGCGTGCAGCACCTGCTGGACCTCGTCGCGGATGACACTGGTGATAGAACCAACATCGATTTGCCTTGTCCCGTACATCTTTTCCATTTCTTCCCGGACGACAGATCGAATGATCTCGCGAATCCATTCGGGGCTCTTGCTCCCAGGGGTGGCGAAAATCTCGGCAGTTGAGGCAGCATTCACTTGACGGTCAAACTGGGCAGACCGTTGGTGCAGTACTCGCTCCATTGTTGCCGCTTCAGTAAGGAACTCAGCAACACTTTTGGGGGGACTACGCACCAAACCAGCAAAAAGTTGTTCCTTCACACCACGCATGAGGTGGCGCAACTTTTTTTCTTCTGCCATAGCAGGATCCGCTCGCTTGAAAAGCCGTGTCATGTCCTCGACGTACATCGAGACGGTCTCGTTGGGCATCTGGATGCGTGATTGAAGTGCACGCTCCGCCCGTTCGCGGCGGTCGGGACTCCTGTAGGTCTCCAGGAGGCGACGCTGGAACTCGCGCCAAGATGTCAGAACATCATCCCTGTTCAAAAACCACGTCTTGGCACCGTCTTTTAGGCACGTGTACACGTTCCGGAGCTTCGCGGCATCATCCCAGTAATTGATCGCTGCGACACGTTCGAACTCACTCAGCCAGTCGTCAACATCTTCATGCTGCACTCCGTGAAAGGGGCTAGGCATGAGCGGGTTCTGGACGGTGCAGTAGATCGGCGTGGAAGGTGTCGGAGCTTGCATGGGATCTTGTGTCGAAGTCATAGTCGCTGCGTCAGTGGTTGGTGTCTCAGGCGGTAGGCCTCGTTGGCGGCGGCTTACTCTATGAACAGGAGTGTCCACGGGTGCAGGGCTTGTGTTCCGGCTGCTGGACGGGGTCTTGGGCATCGGGTGGATTGCGAGACGTTGTACCCAGCAACTCCACCAGTCTTGTCACGTTACTCTCGACAAACTTGATAAAGAATGGGCTCGTTTAGTCGACTACTCAAGCAGCGGCTCAGAGAGATCGTCTTCGTCTTCTTTCACTCTTCGATCTCACCCAAGCAAACCATGTGGCAATATACATGAAAATAGTTGGTTTGGTGCTTTAGACCTCACGAGATACAAGTGTAAAGAACATTCGTTTTACAGCACTAGGTGGCAGTATTCATGTGTGTTACGTAAAATCGTCAATAAGCTGCTATGATGGGCGAGAACTGGGCATCAAGAATACTCGCAGCATGCACATTAATATTAAAGTTGCAGCATATTTACACTGGCGCATGTGATTGACTCGGGATGGAAGCACCAAAATGATTCAGCAACGCCTGGAAGAACACCAAACACGCAGTTCAATGTTCTGGTGCCGTCGCCTGGAACGTTTCTTTAGCGCTGTCCGCTTGACCAGGCGTCCCCGGTTGTTGATTCGGGGCGCTTGTTGAGGCGCTCTTTAGAGGGGGCAGTCTGGCAGTCAACCAATCGAGAACATCTTTGAGGGCTTCCTGGGCGACTCCGTCGGGCTCCTCTAAGAGGGTGTGGTATGCGCCATTGTAAAGCTGCGAAGTGAAGAACACGGAGATACGATGTGACAACCCCTCCCGTGGTGGCGGTTAGGTTTCTGTGCGTAAATGGTTCAAGCTATACTTGTGTCAACTTGTGTGCAAAAAAGAACAAGATGCATCATTAATTAGAGGAATTTAACCTCTTTCCCAGGTAATATGACTTGATTCAACTTCAGAGTTGTGTGTATGGCTTTAGCCGATCACTTCCATGCAGGATCTACGATGTTCGACGGGGCCCTCAACATGCCACGTTTCAGAACCTATGTCAAAAATATTACTTTTATTTTCTCGAAATAAAGGAAAGAAATAAGCTATATGGACACAAATTCGGCTTCAATGATATCATTCTTAAGTGAAAATAAAATATGATTGACCAAGAGAATGGGGACTTTTTTAATGACATGCAAATTACAAATAATTGCTGAAACTCACAACAAACGACATGCGTATTCATTTTTTTTCTCGGAACGAGAGAGTGTATGCTTCAGAAATGTGTCATGTGAATTCGATAAATTCAGAGACAGTGCATCACAATTCGTGTCTGAAAGTGATCCATTGCATATTTAGCCCGTGTGCTCAGATTTGGGTGCACGTTAAAGAACCCCAGGTGGTCTAAATTTCCGGAGCCCTTCACTACGGCGTCTCTCATAATCATATAGTGGTTTTGGGACGTTAAACCCCACATATCAATCAATCAATCATTGCATATTTGGGGTGGCTGGTACGTGTCCAAGCGAAACGTAAAACATCGCGAAATGTCCTCGCCGTGGTTGTCTAGCGGCTATGGTACTCGGCTGCTGACCCGCAGGTCGCGGGATCGAATCCCGGCTGCGGCGGCTGCATTATCAATGCAGGCGGAAATGTTGTAGGCCCGTGTGCTCAGATTTGGGCGCACGTTTAAGAACCCCAGGTGGTCGAAATTTCCGGAGCCCTCCACGACGGCGTCTCTCTCATAGAAATATGGTGGCTTTGGGACGTTAAACCCCACATATCAATCAACGTGCAAATGACGTCGAAAGCCACATAACCGTGACAAACAATGTTATTTACCACGACTGCGATAAATCAGCTGTGCGTAATGGTGGTGAAGTAGTCACAGTGCTCGGATGCGGACCCGAAGGTTGCACGTTCGATTCCTATCGCGGCGGTCACTTATCGATAGACGCAATATACCAGAGGCTCGTGCCAACGCCTATAGGTGATAATGCTAAAAGATTTCTCACTTTCAGGCTTTTGTCCCTGCTTGCGGCCTTTTCGAAGAACTGTTTGGATGCTTCAGGGTAGCAGACCACGTCACCTGTTCCGTGCTGCAGAAGAAAAGGCAGTTCTACGGCACTGGCGCGGGCTTGAGCTTTCTGTAAGATATAAAAGACGGAAATCATATAAGCGACACAAAAAGAACCACATGCAAAAAGGATCAATATAGAATGTGGCAATAACACTGACTCTTCGTGAACCTGATTGAGAGCATGGAATTTTCACCATGACTTCTTGCCTATCTATGCGATGTCATCTGAAAATGTACTTCTGTGCCCATTCACATAGGCCTCCTGATACGAAGTAGAAAAGGGGAGCGATAACGTTGTGATGTCATTCACGTGAGGACGCCAAGTTGTAACGTCACGTTCTGAGAAGTGATGATGATGTCGAGTATTTAAGTAATCAGTGACGTCACGATGACTTCTACAGTGACGTTATCACGAGATCATTTTTTTAGACAACTCGTGTTTGAACTACTACGCCGGACACCAACAACCAATTTTTTCGTTCGTTTGATGAGGCGTCTAAAACTAAACATAGAATTGTTTTTGATATACTGTGTTACCCTTTCACAAGACAAAAATTCTCCCCCCCCCCCCCTTGCCGGACTAAGACGCTTGATAGCCCCGCCCCGGTGGTCTAGTGGCTAAGGTACTCGGCTGCAGACCCGCAGGTCACGGGATCAAATCCCGGCTGTGGCGGCTGCATTTCCGATGGAGGCGGAAATGTTGTAGGCCCGTGTACTCAGATTTGGGTGCACGTTAAAGAACCCCAAGTGGTCAAAATTTCCGGAGCCCTCCACTACGGCGTCTCTCATAATCATATGGTGGTTTTGGGACGTTAAACCCCAGAAATCAATAAGACGCTTGATAAGCAAGAAGACACGCAAAAATAGAATGTGTGTGTGTGTGGGGGGGGGGGGGGGTGCCCCCCTGAAGCACCCGCACTGAACATCATGATGTCATAGAATTTGACGGCGTCTGCTGGGGTCTACGAAGCTCCTGGTTCGTAAAAGTACTGTACGTTGCTCTCCGAGGGCAACAAAGACTCAACATGCAAAGTTTGAATAGATTTCATTGCGCCAAAGTCCGGAAAATACCAAAAATGCACTAAGAAAGCTGTGGCATCATGTGCAGCGATTTCGGCACCATATTGAAAAAGTGAAACTTCAACCTCAGATTTCCTGTTATTAATGAAGCTATGATGATGAAACAAAAATGTAATTCACGTTGTGAAAGTAGAATCGATAAATGTAAATCATGCCGTTGTTTCACTTTAACGTCCCTTTTATAACAATACGCATTTCACATGCTCATGCCAGGCTGTCCAACAGTATTCCTCACCTCTATCGCGTCTGTCATGGCGACCACCCATTGAAGGGTGACGGTTCCAGTGTAATTAAGCGGATCGTTGTTCATCCGAGTCACGACGGTGTTGTCTCTGCAGGAGAAATCGGCACTCGCCATCACGGTCGGAAGGCAAGGCATGATGCAGACCAGCAGGCGGGCCAAGCATATCTGCAACTCGAAGCGTTGGGACAGCATGCGACTGAAAGTTCTCAGACAAAACCCGCATTTTTTTTTTTTTACGCGGTATCATCAATTCACCAGCTAGTGACAGAGGGAATACAACGCTGCTGTTATAAGAGTGGATAGTCCAGTTTGTACTCAGTTTCATACGTCAGATGCAACAGTATGAAACTTAGCGACGGATGTATTCACACTAATATAGTTAATTTTACCAGTAGTAATATGAATGTTTTTTTTTTCGTTTTTTTTTTACTGGCTGCTAGGGTGAGATGTTTTGTGCGTTAGTAAAAAAATAAACGTCGTTATTTATATGGCTGTCAGTAGTTTCTTCGGGTTGACTAACACCTCCATCGGAAATGCAGCCGCCGCCGCCGGGATTCGATCTCGCGACCTGCGGGTCAGCAGTCGAGTACCTTAGCCACTAGACCACCATGGCGGGGCTATTTAGACATAATAGGGAGGGGATGCTGCGACAAAACTTCTCCCTCCTAAAGAGCAACCCTGCGTACTCATATGGTGATGACCAGTTATTGATGCCCCAAAACCACGATATGATTATGAGGCTGCCATAATAGAAGGCTCCGGTATACCATCTGGTGTTTTTTTTTTTAATGTGCGCTGATACCACAAATCACGCCGACCTTTTCCATTTCACCTTCATCAAAATGCGACCGCTGCGGATGGGGTCGAACCCGTGACCTCCCGGTAAGCAGCCGAGTACCATAACCATTGATCCATCGGGGCGTAGAGGGACTCTGAACATTCGTGTGCTTAGATTTGGTTGCACGTTTAAGAACTCCGGGTTGCCTAAATTAGTCCGTAGTGCTCAAGTACGGCGTGTTCCGTCGTAACAACGTGACTTCAGCACTTGCAGCGCCAGGAATTATTAATAAGCTTCCAAAGTGCGGCCTTTGACAATCAATATCTTGCGTGTTCTTGCTCGCATTCGAAAACCGATTACGCCTACAGTGACATTATGAACGAATGTACAAAAAACTTAGAAAAGTGGTGGCTTGGGATGGCTGGTTCAACATGAAATTGTCGCCAGCTATACTGCTTCCTCACCGGCTTAAGCTATTTTTCTTGCCATGGCACAAATAAAGGGAAAGGGTTGGTTGCTATATGACCTTTTTTGTATCGCAATAAGCAGAGAATCATTCACGTTTAGCATTTAGATTCTGCTTACCGTGAACCGCGTGTAATACGGGTGCTCTATGCCAAGCAGGGGTGACATCACAACCATGCCAGCGAAGCCACCAGGCCTGCGCAGCGCCACCAGGATCACCAGTAGGCCACCCTGTTAAAAAAAGACAACCAAAGATTATTAATACTTGAGCCTGGGTATTTATTACTGATATGCATACACTAATACGTGGCTGAGGAGAAGAGAGAGAAAAAAACACTCAATCGCGGCTTGACAATGCTGCCTTGCCCCACGAATACATCGGCTTGAAACATGCATTACATTTCTAAATTCATTATTATTATTATTATTATTATTATTATTATTATTATTATCAGCAGCAGCCGAAACTCAGAATAGATGCATGTATGTGGGGGTTAACGTCCCAAAACCACCATGTAGCGGCGAGAGAAGAGAGAGACGTGAGATGACGTCGAAGGCGGCCGATGGGGCCGTGCCGATCTCGCCACTTTATTGCAGGCCTGAAGCGGAGCCACGTCGGCTACGAGCGTCCAAACCGCCAGGCCAGAAGCTCGTTCTGCTTTCTCGCGCAGCTCGAGCTTGCGCCAGCTGAGCGAGAGACGCGGCGCGGTGATGGAAAAAATGATGATGGTGATGATGGCACTACAACCATATGATTATGAGAGACGCCGTAGTGGAGGGCTCCGGAAATTTCACCTGGGGTTCTTTAACGTGCACCCAAATCTGAGCACACGGGCCTACAACATTTCCGCCTCCATCGGAAGAAACTCAGTATAGATGACGATTATTGTTGTGAGACAAAAAGACACCCTTTTTACTCGAGCTTTTTTTTTTTTTCAGAGTGTAGATATAAGCGCATACACGGGCCTCAACCGTTTTCGTAAATGCGGTCGCCGCGGGCGAGATTCGATCACACGAAGGAAGCGGTAAACGGTCGCTACAAGGTCGCATGTTTGACTGTTAAACGGCTCTCAATTTCGCATGTGTGCTTAGTTTTTGTATGTTTGCTAGTTTTGTTTTGTTGGAAGAGTAAAGTTTAAATCGTAAACCCCCTTGCGCCTCGTTATGTTCCACTGGTGAAAAAAAAAGAAACAAGTCGGTGGAGGCAACGAACGCGGCTGAAGCAGAGATAGAACTAACGGACCCACATCCGTCCGTCGCACGAGGGTGCATGCGATGACATCACCCTCTAATGGGGAACATAAAAACGAAAAAGATTCGAGAAAAGTTTAGCGCCCGACCTTTCTGCTCCCTCCTACTTTTTTTCTCAAATCTGTCTTCTGCCAAGTTTGCGCAATTATGTACCCAATCAATGTTAACGAACTCCCCGTACAAGTTTTATTGAACATCACCTGCGTATTGCCACGTTCCATTCCTCAAGCTTTGTTATCGCCCCGATACACTACACAATTCTCAGCGCAAACCACGCCCACAGTTTTCGAGAAGCTTCGGGACTGTAGTAGATCATTTCGATAAGATCACGTCGACTCCTCAAACTGTATAGATTATTCTGGAACACTCGTCACCGCCAGCGATAACGCTAGAACATTCGATGGCAGGAGTATGAATGTCGACGCACTTCGCCGCTTGTCAGTAGTTGATCGACGGCCGACGCTCCGTTCAGTGCTATCTGTGCAAGACTGCTACTGTAATCGGACTTTCCATATGCCGGGCACAGGTTCGCCCAAATAAACAGTTAAATCCCAACATAAAGTCTCCTGTCTTCGGCCACGTCACGACCCCGTGACAGTATCAAGCCTGTCGTTGATTGCTACTCAGAGAGGAAACGCTTGCCCCCATGACAGAACATGATCGAATGTCGCTTAAGCAGTAAATGGGAACTTCGGTTGTAAGGGCGCTGTCGTGATTGCTGGCGCGCGCGAATTTTCGACCAACTGTGTTGCAAATCAGTGTGCTTGCCCACCATGGAATGTCCGAAGAGGAAGACAGGTTTTCCGGGAAACTTGGCCCGCTCCATGTCAACGTGCGTAAGAATATCGTCCACGTAGATGTCGAACGTCCTGACTGTGGCCCTGGGTCCCTCGCTTCTGCCGTGACCAACTGCAAGGAGAGCGTCACACGAATTGCTCATTTTGACCATAATAGCTTTATCGTTTTGTTACCAATAGCCTTCAAAAGATTTGTAGTGCTTGCACTCGTCGCACACGTGACCTAAGCGTTGGATCGACAGCACTGCAAAAAAAAAAATCAAGTAAAAAGGGCTTTATTTTGTTACACAACAATAATCGTCATCTATATTGGGTTCTTTTCCTTGCATTTTCCTTGCGTTATCAGTTTTACATAGCATTCCTGATGGGAAAGTAGCCAGCCCCGAGTTTCCAAGAAAAGAAGTGCAGGCAAGCCTGATAAGGATCATCGTTGCAGGACAAAAAGACACCTTCTTTACTCGATGTTTTTTTTATAGTGGGGTCGTTATTCCGCCACAGTCAAGAGCATTATTTTTCGAATACTTCATGATTGATTGATTTGTGGGGTTTAACGTCCAAAACCACCATATGATTATGAGAGACGCCGTAGGGGAGGGCTCCAGTAATTTCGACCGCCTGTGGTTCTTTAACGTTCGGATACTTCACACAGTGCTTACGGAGACGCATCCTCAGACATAGGCCCCCTGTTTTTCTTTTGATCAGTGCTTTTATTATCTTGATGTCACCAGCTTCGCGTCGATGCACAAGAACTTCTGCATAAGTTCGATAAACCGAACTGTTCGCTTGAGCAGAAGTAGGTGCGAGATGACACGGGTGATAATGGAGGCCACCGGAATTTCAGCGTTTGGTGACGCATACGTGAGTAGTTAGTCAGATTTCTTATAATATGAATATCTAAATTACGGGTGCTCGCAACAAACTGCATCTGCTTTAGTAACTTGAATAAGCGCGCCTGCACTTGGTCAATGATACTGCCTCCTCATGCCTCTATTACGTAAGCGTGCAAGTTCTTGGAGCTATGCACACGTGGCGCATGACATCGTGAGAGAATATGCTAGAAGTATCGGCGAACATTAAAGCAATTTTCGAAAGCTAGAGCGCTGCTGTGTTGACTGCACGCATTTCTTTGTCCATGTTCTTAGCCTGCACTACTATAAAGTATTATTCAACGCACCTCTTCTATGTGGCAATCAAGCTACGTTACGATTTCAATAGGAATAAGATAGCTAATATCCTGGTATCATCTCACAGAGTAAAATGACCAAAATAAATACATCTGGTAAAATTCACTGATCGTAAAATGAATAGGTGTTTCTCCTCGCATATTCAAAAGGAAAGAAAGGAAAAGAGCAACACGTACTATTTTTTTTATTAAAATGCGTTGGTATGACTGCTCATGCACGATTCGAAAAGGCTGCCGATTGCAAGCATTTTTTTTTGCGCTATGCAATGACACTACAAGCACCACTTGATTGATATGCTTGGTTTAACGCCCCAAAACCACCATATGATTATGAGAGACGCCGTAGTGGGGGGCTTCGAAAATTTTGACCACCTGGCGTTTACTAAACAAGCACCACTTGCCGTGGTCGTGAGTAAATACATAGAAGCCTCGTGGAGCCAGGGCTTTCGCCAGAATCACGTATCCGTCGTCGTGGGAGTAGTCACCGTAGCCGTGCGTTATGAAGAGAAGGGCCCTGGTAACGACAAAAAGAAAACGCTCGTTTTATGGTATGCAGTTCATTATTTTTCAGTAAACTACCAGTTCGTATGGCACCTAGCTCTTCTAGAATGTTGGGCATCTCGCAATCACAAAACATCATTTAGAGAACTGTTAATCAAAGCTTGCGGTAAATCTCACCAGATGTCAAGGGGGAGATAAGTAAACATGGTTATCAGTTCCCGAATGCAAGTGCGGAGCATGCAATCATACCTGGGCTCTGCTTCGGTTCTCCAGGTCGTGCAGACGATGTTGTGCCCGTTTTCATTCAGGAAAGAAGTGCTATCGTCGACACGAACACAGTCTTTCGACATCTTCGGTAGACCAGTTCGTTTGGCGGATCCCTTGCTTGCTTGCTTGTTCCTTTCTTTTGTGGCTCTCACCCACTAAGGGGGATTGGCCAAGAAGCCGGTGGTTAATGAAATTAAATACCTATAGATTTTCTAGATTAGGGGAATATGATTACTGTGTTTTGACTGTGAAATTATTTTGGCGGATCCCTTGGCAACAGCGAAAGCAAGTCCCCTCTTCTTCTTCTTTACCTTTGTGTCTTATTTCTTCATTCACGATAGATAGATAGATAGATAGATAGATAGATAGATAGATAGATAGATAGATAGATAGATAGATAGATAGATAGATAGATAGATAGATAGATAGATAGATAGATAAATAGATAGATAGATAGATAGATAGATAGATAGATAGATAGATAGATAGATAGATAGATAGATAGATAGATAGATAGATAGATAGATAGATAGATAGATAGATAGATAGATAGATAGATAGATAGATAGATAGATAGATAGATAGATAGATAGATAGATAGATAGATAGATAGATAGATAGATAGATAGATAGATAGATAGATAGATAGATAGATAGATAGATAGATAGATAGATAGATAGATAGATGACGTACAAAAAGGACGATGTGTTAACGAAAGTTTTTTTTTCCAACGAGCTGCCCTGCAGAAGCGGGAAGGTGGCCATGTTGGACATTCGGTCATCCAACTAGGAATTCCTGCAATACGATGGGGCCAGATAAAAGGATTCCTTGGTTATGCCGCACGTGCAGTTCAACATCAACCATTGAGAAGCTAGAAAAGAATCATACCTGTCATCGTCTTACATCAGCTGTGTCTGTGGAATTGGGTCGAGTAGTGCGGTGTAGGTGGCGCCACGTGTCTTGTGTTTTTTTTTTTTTTTGGCCCTTTCAAAATGTAAGAACACAAGTTCATTGAAGTATCCGGACACTGCTAGGGCTGCCAACAACAGGAAAATTCCAATATTTTATCTATTTTTTTATGAATGAACATTGAAAATGTTACACTTATTTACAGCGGATTTTGTGCCTAGACGACAAAACAAAACAAGCATAGACAAAACAGTAAGGAGAGAGTAGAGGTGTTTTTACACCCCCTAAAATTTCCGAGGCTCTTACTTTTCAGGGAAGGCTAAAGTATTCACTCACCTTCAGATAACCTTCCGTTACCAAAGTTAGCCATTCGACAGGTAAACTTCCTCCCCCCAAAATTACAGCCAGTGGATCTGAGCATTAGAAAGCAGTCACGTATACTCTTTTCGCCTGCAGTTGCTGCAGTTCATTATTCGTTTCCAAGCCAGTTTACAGGTAAGCCTATTATCAATGCTGGACACAAGTCGAAGATCGGGAAACCTGATGGCTGCTGGTCTAACAAAGACATAACAGGTTCTTGTGTTTATCCAGACGGTTATCACACTGCCGTATAAAAAGCAGATACATAATGCATCTCACTTCTTGTAGATTTTCCTGCACAAATGACGCGGTGGTGAGCCTAAAGCAAATAAATAGCGAATACGGATGCAGGAAAAAGACGGTGCCTGAGTGAGTCGAAGTTTATTTTAACAAATGAAGGCTGCCAGTATTTTTAGTTTTGCATTTCTCCGCCCAGCACCAACAGTCGACAAAGGGAGGACACCTTTGACAAGCCCAAGTCTCGAGCACCAGCTACAGCAGTGGGCACAAACCCGCAGCCGAGCTGGAATACGTAAAATTGATTGATTGATTGATATGTGGGGTTTAACGTCCCAAAACCACTATATGATTACGAGAGACGCCGTAGTGGAGGACTCCGGAAATTTAGACCACCTGGGGTTCTTTAACGTGCACCCAAATCTGAGCACACGGGCCTACAACATTTCCGCCTAGGAATACGTAAAATGGCAGCTTTGGGATATTGAAATCTTGGTCTCGAAAATAAAGCCTCACAACCTCGTCAAAGCCGAGAATTGACTGTTGGCTACAAAGCGAGTAATGCAGTAAAAATCATTGAGCGATGACGCCATCATATCATTTCTGGGTGACGTCACAAATATCAGAAATTTGTGACGTCATTATGACGTGATACGACATCATCACTTGGTCAAAAGTGGTCTGTTCAGGTAGGCAGCGCAAAACAACGCGTGCAGCAGGAAGCTTGCAGTGCCTCTGATCCTGGAGGCCGTGTGTGCGGACGTTGTGTACGGAAAGCTTTCGTTGTAGAGCAGGGGAAAGTCGGAATATTGTCTGATAAGAAAAAAATAAGAAATATGCCGCCTTCTAGTCATCTTCTAGCTGACCCAGTTCGTCTTCTAGCTCACCCAGTAATGACTGTAAGCCGTGGACTGAGGGCAGCCAGTACTGCCTGGAAAAACTTGAATTGTCTTGAAAAGAGCTCGAAAACGACAAAGACGAAAGAAGATACGGGGACCCATCAAAGCGCTGACCAACAATTTTTTTTTTTGACTGGTAGATGGGACTTCAGGGCCAAGGTTGCCTCACACTACAAACCGTTTTGTGTTATTAAGTTTTTTTTCTTTCCTTTTCCCAATTAGTACACATTTGGTAAAATACGTGCAATGATTGATGCTGCCCGAGGCCTCATTCCTCATCACTGTATTTCTTCACCGAGCACGCGCTAGAAAGGCGCTGACGTTAGCCACGCGATCTTGGCCGCACGAGTCGAAGAATCGAGAAGGCAGGCCTGCTACAAGCAACGGCAAAGGCAAGGTAAAGTCCATTTCGTAGCTCACGAGCGCTAAGCTGCTTCTTTTGTTGGTTGTCAGAAATCGGAACAGATCTTGAGCGACGCTTCCGGGAATGTTTGTTGTAATGGCTGTTGGTTATTTCAATAAGGACCCCGACTCTACTGGGCTACTGTATTGTTCGATGAGTCGGGAATGGTCCGGCCTTCAACCATCGTCGTAGAGCAATGCAATGATGGCTTACTACCTGGCTCACTTATGTCGAGTGGTTTGGCACGTAAATGCATGCTTGTTTGACAAACGAAGTTTGGCACCATCTAATAGTGGAGATGACTAGCTAGGAGTTCGGTGAATATTTCGCTCAAAAACATGAGATACTCCGAGAAGTCCATGACAGCGTAAGGAAGCTCAGAAAGCGGGCAGCAAGCTTTGAAGGAAGGGCTGTTAATGTCCGTTCGCTCGAAGTGACATCACAGTCATTGGTCTGTCCTATGTGCGGTGGGCTTTCCCTGCATGCGAGGAACTCCGTAGTGGTATATAGTATAGTTACGACACAAATGACCGACTAACTCTGTCGGTGCTTGAATCCGAGACCTCCTGAGCAGAAGTGTTCGAACCTTTGACGTCCAAAATCCTTTGACGTCCACTGGAACCTCTGCAGATGTTAGGTCCCGCAGAAGTACACATGAATAAACTGAGAACCTTCGACGCATGTCGTTACCGAACCGTTAACTGCTGAAGCATTGTTAGGAATTTGCTCTGTCGCGATGGTAGCGGTGGCGAAGAGCGGCGAGCCGTCGAGCGGACTTCGCTGAAGCCTTAGCCCGAAGGCGAAACAGGGAGGCAATTCGTTTTGAAAACAGCAACAAAAGGAGCGTGTACTGTAGCAGGTTGTCGTTTGTACAGAGCCAGCCAGCACGACAACGTCGGCTGGGCCAAAATCCCCCCTAACATGGGGCCGGCACGGCCCTAAATAGCGTTTTGGGACTCTTCTGCGAGACCAGTTCCCCGGAACGGCACAGTGGCTCGGCTGAGGAGACGCAGCCATACCCGGAACTGCAAAGTGGTTCGGCGGAGGAAGCGACGTTATCCCCGGAACTGCACGGTTCTTCTGCACGGAAGGCGGTGCTGGGAGGGGGGGAGACAGTTCGTCGGAACAGGGCTCGATCTCGTAAGACGTGCTCCCGAACGAGGAACATGTCTGTGGCACAACAGCATGTAATGACTCAAACCTCGAAGCTTTTTACGCTTGCATAGTAGCGAACCTTCGACATCAGAAGTGTAAAGAGACTCGCACACCGAACCTTCCAAATATGTATGGCGTTGAACACTCGACCTCCGAAGGGTGTGGGGATTCGGACTCACAATCATCCCGGCATATTTGATGTCGAACCCTCTACCCCAGAAGTACATAGTTTAACCTAGATACTTCCAAACAGTAGAGTAATGAACCCTTTACCTCCGAACTGTACAGGAATTCGAACCTCGAGCTCTGTAAGCAGGTCAGATATTGTTCAATTAATACAAGTTCAGCAAAAGCAAAAGAGCGTGCGTGTCAACCTAAATTTATGGGGAGGCGCGATAACTGAGAGCCTAACTTATAAACACTACATAAAATTTGAAAGCTTTAGGACGCCTACCGTGTTCGCTGCATGAAATTTCCAAATGGTAGACGCATCCTCTTCGAACATACTTTTATATCACACGCGTATGCCCTGTAGAATGCGCAGCCCAGTGGAACGCTGCCTTTGGTCTGTTACTGATTATAGGCTACCTGAACATGGACCACCTTTAATAGCGCATCCAGTGGGCGCTCTTATGGAAAAGATAACAGAAAAAAAAACTACAAGGCTTGTGCAGAATGAAAGGGAATGAAAAAAAACGTTTATTACAGAAAAACAATAATAGGTTAGAAGCAGGTGGGTGGGGCTCCTATAGTCCAGGGCACCACTAAGGCTTGCACAGAACGTGCAGCACAGTCATAGCGAAAGCTGGAAGAGTGGCCATTCAGGACCATTTTTAGACATTCTTTTAGTAACTGCTACAAGTACACTTGTGGGGTACCCGTTGCGCTAGAAATCAAAATTTTTGGGTAATAGGGAGACATTCAATGTGCCGTCCTTCGTCATTCTTTGGAGAAGCGTGATACACGGTAGACACTTGGCAAGAAATCGTTCGTAGTTTTTATGCTATCGCTGACGACGATGAATTATGCCCGGAGCTTTTGTGATTGAGGAGATTTGAGCGTTTGACGACTCACTCGTTATGCAATTCGCATTGCGTGACGCCTAGTTATTCTTTTGCTGTTCCAAAACGCTTTATTATTCATATTAACGCCATTTCTCCCGACATCAATCGAATCGTGACCTCATAACAGCTCTCGCTGTAAAAAAAAAAGAAAAAACTCATCCTTACCGGAAGGGCGCAACAATGAATGCGATAGCAAGGAATTCGAATGACACGTAGATCGATGAGCAACTTCCCGCTGTGAAGCACAAAGGAGAACGCTTCAAAAAGACAAGCATGTTTACACAGGACAAGCGACTATCACTAACGACTATCACAGTCGTTGCGCTTTTGTGGTTGACCAACGCGCTGCAACTGTCGACAACGCAGAACCCGATCCTCTTCGATATTTCTTCTTTCATTAAAGTGCGGCGCGTGCAATGAACCCTTAGCGTCTCCTGCCATGAGGTGGCGTCAGCCGCAAGGCGTGGGTGAAGTCCCCAGGTAAATATTCTAAGGAAGGACCTTAGTTGTGGTCGGTGCTCTTTTTCCTTTTTTTTCGTTCTCCGTCAAGACTCGATACAGAAAGGGGCCCCTTTTTCGTGCTCGTCCCAAGAGTATTTTTCAAACAAAAAGAATGTAAAAGCGCTGCGTGGTAGAAACCACACAAAAGACCCCCTTTTGCTTAATTGGTTTGCCAAGAAGTATAGGTCTAAATTATCACGAACGTACTAATAATCTCCCAGCACTTCAGTCATGTG